GTTTTCCAAGATTTTTTTCAAAATTTTAGTGGTGACTCCTATTCCATCCGGTTCCCACCCCAAAATCTAGAACCTCTACTCATGTGCCGTTCGCGTCATATTTTTCATGTGCGACAGAGATGATAAAAGGAAAAGAACCAACGGATACCATTCTTTTAGCACTTGTCAAATATGTTGATTTCAAAAGGTCTAATAATTGTTTGATTTTATAAGCTGAAGAATTTAGTATCAAGATACCTTCCAACTGCTGCTCTTTTAACTGTTAACAACACGAGAAAGGGTTGAGAAACACAGTGGAAAACACTCCCATCACTTCAATGAGCATGGAAGTCAATAGATCAGCTCATTCGTCAAAGGAATTTCACAATCTTTAGCTTAATATCCTAAATTTTTCAGTTTATAATTAGATCTCTATACAGCAGCAATGTCAAGTATTATACCGCTAAGAGAGATCGACCATATGGATTATACAATGTTATTATACTTTATCGTCAACCAAGTCTTTATTAATATTGTTAATTAAGAGACTTCATTTAACAACTTTTAAAGTTTTTTTATGACTAAAAATTATCTGCTCCACTCTCCTTACCAGTACATGACCTTTATGACTTTTAAAATTCAAACTAACATACACAGACACATATGTATAGCATTAAAATTTTATCAAATATAAACCGACTAGTATTAGAATTACTACTATTTTTTTTTGCTAGTACAGTATTAAATTTATCAGCATATCCTAATTAGGGTTAATGTTCATTTTTACCTTGAATTTTTTTTTCGAGGAGCGTTGGATACCCTATACTAATAAGTGAAGTAATTTTTTTCTAAACCATTTTTTTGAGGAGAAGAAAAATCTTTTATTAATCACCCATTAACTTTGCCATCTTCTGCTAATGTGGCATGTGTGTGAAACCACATGCAACGACAAGTAAGAATATGACCATGTCTTTTTGTGGTAATTTACTCCTAAATTTTTTTTGAAGAGTATAGAGTACATTGGAGTTTTGTTAAAATAAAATTTAATAAATATTATTAAAATATTAATTTTTTAATATTTCATAATTTAAATATCATTTATCAATAATCACTCAAAATTTATAAATTATTTTTTAAATTCTAATAATTCAAACTAGATTTTCATAAATTTATAAATGATTTATAATTTTTATATATTGATTATATTTTTAATATTTATTAATTTTCTTAATTTTTTTAGGTTTTTCTCTGTAATTTTATTTTGTCAACTAATGGTTTTCTTAAAAAATATTACACTATTTAAATTTAGTACTCTCTCAATGCTGCAATGTTAGGAATAAAATCATAGACTTGATAGACTAGGACCAACATACTAACAAAAATACTTATTTAAAAGATATTGTTCATCCCATTAATATGTTACAAAAGGAGCTATTTAACAAGAGAATAATGGAGAGATGAGAAGAAAAATCCCTCCATTAATTTTGATTTCATTTTATCAGTTTATTTTGGAGATTCATTATATTCCTTTTGTTTTAAATTCAAAGTTGCAAATTATTAAAATATTAAATTTTATTTTAATAAGACTTTTGGATCAAAGGATATGGTTAGAGTCCTACTTATCAATGTACATAGGACCCACGTACAAAGTTGACAGGTCACTAATATAAGGATTTTTCACTCCTCGCAAAAATGGTTTAGAGAGAAAATTACTCCACTTATCAATACAAAATATCCAGCACTTCTCAAAAAATTTTAGGGATAAACATGAACCTTAACCCTAACCAATTTTATATCACATTGGTACTTTGAACGGTTGTTAAAAACTTTGGACAGGTCATTAAATTGTGGTTCAGTAATGGGACCATAATCAAACCTGTCATCAATGGATTACCATATTTTCAATAATGTATGCTTACAATAAAGAAAGAAACAATCATCCATAACAATAAAAATGAATTGTCAAAGCCATGGAGAAGTATTATATAGTTTTTTTTTTCAAAAAAAAAAATCCCATATCAATACTGCATAATCTTCTCTAAAACGTATCTACTTTTTTTATAAATTATAATATTTGAATATATATATACACACACACAAATATATATACAAATGCATGCATGAATTTATGTACGTACATATGTATGTACACATATTTCTTAGGGAGAATGATAGTTAAGTTTTAAAATATTGAATTAATGACATTTAAGTTCCCAACAAATTTTTCTATGTGATGAATTGTAAATATCAATTTGAATAATTACAAATAAAATTTTTTGTTATAATTTAAGAGTTACATTCGATACTTGAATATTTATTTATAATTGAAACTCTTAAATTTATAATTTTTTGAATCGAATATTTTCAACTAATTTTTCAAAAATATTTGTTGAGGACCTATTTGCCATTAATTTAGTATTTTAGGATCTAAATGTCATTCTTCCTGTTTCTTACTCATTTGCTCGTTGCTCTTCCTTTCCTGATTCTACAAGGTATAAATAAGCATGAATCTTAGCTTAAAAACATGGATTAAATTAAAAAATAAAATAAAATTTGTGTGGCTCACCGGTTCCATCGTGTTTGCCTAGTTTCACCTTGTTTGGCCGGTTCGATTAATTTCTTCCTCTTGCAACCACACCGAACAAGTTACTTGTTCAACTAATTAAACTAGCAAGTTGGATTCTCTTAAGACTACTTTAAATGTACATCATTCAAGTCAATTCAAATTCATTCAAATACATGTGTGGTACATTTTTTGTTTTTTCAGCTCGTTTCATTAGTTCCTTTTATCTCTTTTGTGGACATAAATCATGTCACGAGGAGCGGAGGAGTACACAGATTAGTCCCGTCAACAAAATTTGACTACCAATAAATGTTTATCAAGAAGAACTATTTAAAAAAAAATAAATACCAAGTTACAAAAATTTTCAGGACTGTTAGAACAATTTAACCAACAGATATATATCTTCTCTTTATGATTTCTGGTAGTAACGTTAGAGCAGCTAACCTTTTTTATTGGGAGAATGGCAATAAAATCTTAAAAGAAAAAGTTTATAACAGTTAAATTCCTGACAATTTTTTTAAAAAAGTAAGTTATAAATATTTGCAAACAATAATTTCAATTGTAAATTTTGAGTTGCATTTAAAATTTAAATGTCTTATTTGTAATTAAAACTTTTAGATTAGTAATTGTTTAAATTGAGATTTAAAATTTATTTTTAAAAAATTTTATTGAAGACCTAACTATCATTAATTTTCTCATAGAACTTAATTGTCATTCTCCATTTTTTATTTGAAAAAACTGACAATTCAGTAACATCTATCCCTGTGTAAATAAATCCATAATTGCGTTGATGAAATACTGTGGTTAAAATGCTTTCAGGTGAAAAGTTTCATATAGGGGCATTCTTTAAGAAGTAAAATTTTCTTTCCTTTCTTTACCCAAAAAAAAAAATGTCCTTTCCTTTTTCCACCTATGCAGGAAAACAAAATCAGTAAAGCTTTCTCATACATGTGGGGTAGGAAAAGCACTTCAACCAGCCAGCCAAGGTAGAGTGGTTCACAATCTTCTAGACCCAAATCAATCTATCCTACCAAAAAGGAGAGGCGAGACAGAAATGTTGTATAGTTGCATGTTCTGGATTCCACATATTCCCCAAATTCTCCTCAATCAACATCACCTTTTTATATTTTGTGAATATCTGGGAAAACTAATTTTGAATCTATCCTACAACCTTCCTATTGCAATAAAGCTAATCCCAACCTTCATCATGGACCAGTGGAGATCTATCTCAATTGTATAGTGGGAAGGTCACTTTCAAGCTCACAGTAGCATTGATTAAGCTCTTTCCCTATAAAAGGAGAAGTTCCCACCACAACCATCAGTTGTGAGTTGAGGACTAGAATAACAAGCTTCCTAGCTATCAGTTTTAGCCCTTCGAGTTCTTCTCTTAGTGGAAACTTGAAACCTCTGGAAATGGTTAGTTGTCTGTGATAAGTTTCTGAATCAATGGCAACTAAAACTTGAAGCATTGTTCTTATGTATCGAGTTTTTTTTCCTCATACATTTCAGGAGGAGAAGATGAGTTGGACAGTTGTTGATGCTGTGGACTATAAAGGTTTCCCAGCTGATAGATCCAAAACTGGCGGCTGGGCACCCGCTGCCCTTATTCTAGGTTTGCTTTCCCACTCATCCCATTGATGCAATACGAGTGTCCTTATTCTAGGTTTGTTTGCTCTTACATGACTTAAAATGAAGCATCAAATTTTATAAATGGATATGTGTCTAGTCTGCCATTAGACGTGATAGAGAGATTTTAAATAACACAAGATGCTGCCTCTGGCTATGTCATACTATCCATACCATCTCATGCTTGGTAATGCATCAAAACAAAGCTTTGCTTAGAATATATATGCACCAGACTTAGATTGCACACTCCTAGTTTCCCTCAGTACTTGAAGTAACAAGATGGTGCTGAGAAGGAGGGTTGGCGTTTTCAGTAAATGTTAATATTGAAACAGATAGGACTTGGGTGTGTTCAAAGCACCTAACAGGGAGAACAAGGATCCAGATCCATATTTGGAGTTCCGCTTCTCCGCACTAGGAGTTTTTTATAATATTCAATTTGATTTTCAAATTCTTTTTCTTTTATTTTGGGTGGCAACTGCCGCAGAGAATGGAGCTGAACTAGGGGAAACTTCTCAGCAAAAGAATAATAATACTTCTAATGATAATTCTGATGTCAGTATCGGTTTGGAATATGCAGGAAAAGGGCATAATATGATAAACGGAACCTTGTGATTGATTATGGAGATATTCCACACCCTCGATATTTTTTTGACCTCTACTTTATTCACCACTTTCCCAAAAGATTTAGCTATGCTATTCGCATACATTTTCTCTTTTTGAATACTCTACTTCACTTTTGAATGACACTCTACCTCTGAACATAAAATTATTCTCTTCATAAATTACACACGTAGCCATCACCCTGCTTCCCTGTAATCCTTTTTCAGTTTTTAATTTTAAAATTTCTGCCAAAAGCCTCAGATTTATCTATCCGCCGGTAAGACAGCAAAGAGACCAAAAAAAGCATTTCATATTTCTACCACAGCCGAAAAGGACCTCCTCCTGTCAGCACGCATCAATAGACACGTGGCGTAGGACCCAACACATAAACAAAGAGTGAGAGTTTATGACGCTCACATCCCACAATTTGTCTCTCTCTAACATGATGAAGCTCTGCTTTGCACGGTAAAAATAGAGGATGAGATTGCCACTTCAGCAAGAAATCAATTAATCCCTGAACTCATGATCATCACTTGGTCATAGATGTTTTGTTACATCAAGGACTACATCCCCCAAAACAATAAACATTTAAATACAGGCCAAGAATAATATTATCATAATTGCTAACAAAAAAATGTTTTAACAAGAAGAAATTTAAGAGCAGAAGCTAATTTTTACCAATCTTACAGGGATTGAAATTGTTGAGAGGCTCTCCACCATGGGGATTGCGGTCAACCTGGTGACGTACTTGATTGGAACCATGCATCTGCCAAGCTCTACCTCAGCCAATATCGTCACTGACTTTATGGGAACTTCATTCCTTCTGTGCTTGCTTGGAGGCTTTCTAGCTGATTCCTTTCTTGGCAGATACAAGACAATCGGAATTTTTTCTGCAATACAGACACTGGTTAGTCATATTACTGACAATTATTGTTACTACTGCTTTTTATTCATGATTTTATATTTGCTCATTTAAATCCATCTACAAAACACTTACTATTCCGTTAAAAAATATAAAGCATTTTTTATCAAATCTAACTTTCAATGAAGTTGTTACTTGTTTTTAAACTAACTATATCTTACTATATTTACCGCTATTTAATAAGGTGTTTTATCTTAAAATAAATATAAAGTAATTCATTCAATAATGGCATTTTTTTTAAAAGGGCAATGATTATATTATAAAAGACAAAAAATGTCTTACATTTTTTATTATCTAATTAAAAAATATCTTATATTTTTTAATGAAAGAAATATATTGGGGTTAAAACAAAAGAAAAAAAAGAACTAATACATGTCTCAAACTCAAAATAAATAGAGACAATGCATGTTGCATTTTTCATGTTAATATGTTTTAGACTAAAGTATACCTTTGGTTTGTTTAAGTTTATATAAGTTTTCAATTTGATTTTTTTTAATTTTATAAAGTATTTTTTTCGTCCTCTAACCCTAATACCATTTGTTTTAAATAATTATTTTTTATTCCAATCATTATTATTTTAAAATATTAAACTTAATATGCTAACATTAGATGAGAATATTTTATTAATATTTAAAAGTTTAATGTAGAAATTTTTAGTAGACAAAACTAATAATGTTAAGGTTAAAGGATTGAAAAGACATTATAAAATTAAGAGACCAAAATAAAACCTTGTATAAAATTAAAGAACTAAAGGTGCATTTTAGTCTATATTTTTCATATTTTTCTTAACATTTATGCTTTGTATCTACTTTGTTTTGACTGTTAAAAGGATGCTGATTTCAGGGCACTGCTACATTAGCAATTTCAACAAAATTACCTCAGCTACGTCCACCACCTTGCCCCAATTCCAGCAGTAACAATTGCAAGCAAGCTAATGGATTCCAGATGGGAATTTTGCACATGGCTCTGTATCTTATTGCACTAGGGACAGGGGGCTTAAAGTCTAGTGTCTCAGGATTCGGAACTGACCAATTTGATGACAAAGATGAGAGAGAGAAATCTCAAATGGCCTATTTCTTCAACAGGTTCTTCTTCTTCATCAGTTTTGGGACTCTAATGGCTGTCACAGTACTCGTTTATATACAAGATGAAGTGGGTCGAAGTTGGGCATATGGAATTTGCTCTGTTTCTATGCTCATAGCCATTTTGGTATTCTTATATGGAACTAAAAGATACAGATACAAGAAAAGCATGGGAAGCCCCATTGTCCACATTTTCCAAGTCATTGTTGCTGCCACAAGGAAAAAGAAACTGGACCTGCCATACAACATTGGCTCTTTGTATGAGGACACTCCTGAGGCTTCAAGAATAGAGCACACTGATCAGTTCCGGTTAGTATATCTCTCCCTCTTCCCTAGTGGAAGCCAATTCATATAACTGGAACTGAAGAACCTGTCTTCGCGAGTCATAACAATTTCTTTCTTTTCTATTTTTGTCAATAATTACTTCAATTCAAAATAAATACACATCCCCATATAAACCCCCATTATCACTTATTATCATAATCTCCAACACTTCTATTATTTGGTGTAGTTTTCTGGAGAAAGCTGCTATTGTAGCTGAAGGAGATTTCGAGAATACGTACGGCTTTGCACCAAACCCTTGGAAATTATGCTCATTGACAAGGGTGGAAGAGGTGAAAATGATGGTGAGACTCCTACCAATTTGGGCCACAACCATCATCTTCTGGACCACATATGCCCAAATGATCACCTTTTCAGTTGAACAAGCCTCGACCATGGAAAGGTCCATCGGAAAATTCCAAATTCCTGCAGGTTCTCTCACGGTCTTCTTTGTGGCAGCCATCCTAATCACTCTGGGTGTTAATGACAGATTCATCATGCCCCTTTGGAAAAAGTGGAAAGGCAAACCAGGTAAAAGAGAGGGATCCAATATTTATGTAGTCACGTTTAAATATTGCAGCCTCATAACAAGTTTAATACATTTTGCTTTTGGTAGGGGTCAATTACAACAACTAAACTCACCCGTTCATGTTTACTCCTCAAAGGAAGGAAACACACAACCCTCCACACCCACCCTAGGAATAAAACCTGCATCCTCCCTCTTGTAGCAGGAGCATTGTGGCACATGGGCCACTGGCATAACATGTTCAATACATAAATAACCGAACCTTAAATATGATTAAAACAATATTTTAAAGCTTTACAGCAAAAGGGGCCAAAAAAAAAAGAAAAACGGAAACAGATAAGAATTAAACTATATAATTAGCTAATAGCATAAAGTGATGTCTACTCTGAAAGAGAAAGGAAATCAACATGGTACGCTCACTGCATACAATTTATATATGCAAGAGGTTAGCTTCCATGAACCTAGGTATACTGCTGTTCAAATCATAGCCTTACCAATTTCTTGGTTCAAGTAATTCCTTCACGGTTTCGTTGATAACAGAATGAACAGCCTATCTAAACGAAATAGGAAGATTGATTAGCTGAGATCCACGTCGATTGGCCGCAATGCAACAAATGTTTGCAACCTTTTTTCATACAGCCTTAGCATACATAAATTGACCGATGAAGTTATTCGTTCAAGTGTTCAACCATGTAAAAGATAACAAGCTTCAACCCTTGGAAATGAGAGAAATTTATATAGTTCATTTTGAGTGTAACAGGATTCACCAACCTGCAAAGGATTGCAATTGGTCTTGTGCTTTCAATATTGGGGATGGCCGTTGCTGCGGTGTGCGAGGCAAAACGATTAGCAGTGGCGAAAGGAGTCGTCAGCGACACAAAAACGCTGCCCATAACCGTGTTCCTTCTAATCCCACAGTTCTTCCTGGTGGGTTCAGGTGAAGCCTTTATCTACACAGGCCAACTCGATTTCTTCATAACCCAATCCCCAAAAGGCATGAAAACCATGAGCACAGGCCTCTTCCTCACGACTCTGTCGCTAGGGTTCTTCGTCAGTAGCTTCCTAGTATCGGTTGTGAAGAAGGTAACCGGGGCCAAAGATGGGCAAGGATGGCTCGCCGACGACATCAACAATGGAAGGCTTGATCTGTTCTATGCACTGCTGACCATACTCAGTTTCATCAACTTCGTTGCGTTTCTGGTGTGTGCAATTTGGTATAAACCAAATAAGCCTAAATCTATTGTGGAAATGGAGGCTATTGATCGATCCAATGCAGAAGAAAAGTGCTAAAAGAAGAAGAATCTTTGGAAATGAATCGCGTTATGTGTAAATGTAGAGATTAGAATTGTGGGGTGATTTGTAGTTTGGATTATACTTGGAGAGATCGCAGATGCTGTGATGTGAACTAGTGATGTTTAGGATTGGCCTCAATATGTAACATAATAATCATGTTTTCAGTTTTCTTAACTTGCATGCGATGCTCTCGTAATCGAAGGTCATGTTTCGGTTTGCAGCCTTTTTCGCAATTAACTTCAACATTATTAACAAGGGATAAGAATATTTAATGTGTTTTTTTTTACTACCTTTTATAATATCCTAATTTTTTAATTTTATTTTTTAATTTTCTTTAAATTATTAGCTTCTATATAAAATAAAAGACATTTAGATATTTTGATATTCCAAAATGATGAAAATTTATATTTTTTATGATTTTTCAAAAATAAAAGGGTGTATTTGTGATATTTTTTTAAAAAAATTATAAAAAATATAAATTTTTATCATTTTGAGACATCAAAATATCCAAATGTCTCTTATTTTATGTAAAAACCAATGATTCAAAGAAAAATAAAAAATAAAATTGAAAAATTGAGACATTATAAGGGATATTAGAGAAGGGCATATTAAAAACCTCTAGTCTCTTGTTAATAATGTTAAAGTTAATAATGTTGTGTAATATAAATAATGATGTAAACCGTGAGGGGAGAGAAGAGAGAGAAGAGGAAGGGAGAGAAAAAAGAAAGGAAGTACTATTGAAAATTTTATTCAATAATATTTAAAATTTGAATATAAATTAAAAAATGTAATTTTATTTTTAAAAATTTAAAAATAATAAAATAATAATAATTTAAACCATCAATATATATTAACAAATTTCATAGCAGGTTTCTAATCAATTAACATATATTCAATACCATTAATCGAGATAACTCTTAATATGATCCATGAAGAACGAGATGAAATCCCTCTGCTTTATTCAGGAATCATGCCTTTCCTTGTAAAAACTGTTCTCCTCATTATCTAGGCTTATAAATCAATGACATTTTGTACATTATTTAATATTCAATGTATACTGCTATGTTTTCTTTGAATTTAAATTTAATTATGCCACTTTATCCATCTTGTAAACGTAGGATTTTATTTTTCATACATTTTGAGTAATGCATTTCATGCATGATTTTTTGGCAGGTAAGTACTGAGCCCAATATTGGAGAAGATGCATTTGTGTGGCTGGCATCTTTGTTTCCATTAATAGCATATGTTGCAAATGGAAGGTTTACTTTTGAAACTTTAACAACACCTACAGGTATGAGAAATTAAGGGAGCATTGGACTGGCAGGAAATAGAAATGTTTGTATTGAGAGATTAAGGGAGCATTGGAGGTAATGCATGCATACAGTAGTTCATTGGTCTTATCATTAGACCAATAAAAATGATTTTCTTGAGTGACAATGATAAAAGAGTGTTGATTTTTCTAAAATATTGAAAATGATTTTCCTTCTATCATAAAAGGGGAAAGAAAAAGATTAAGGTGGAGCCTGAGCAAGTGGAAGGGAGAAAGAGGAGGAGGGAGTACATTTAAATTTGCTCATAACATGTTAACCAATTGAGAGGTTAGGAGAGTTAATGTCCATTTAATATATTGTAGCCCTTGAACTTATTGCAGCCAATACTACAATCCAACCATTTTGAATTATACTAAATTTGTTGCTTCACTATTTATCATATTGACTAAATTGTCCACTTCAGTTTATTCTACCGCAAACAACTTTGGAAATGGCAGTAGTGGACAAGCTACTTCATGTTCTTGAAGATTTTGTCCCATGTAAAATATGAGCTAAGTGAAGCCGTGCTACTCATCCAACAAGCATTGACGAACAGGTCAGGAAATTTTCTTTCAAACAGGGTCCTCGGCATTTTATCAGCATAATGGCATGCCCCATTTCTTGGTCCAATGGCCATGATAAATTTATTGTATCTTTGAAAAACATATTTGAGGCTTTTCTTAGTCTTATTTAAATGTTTCCCCTGTTTGATTTTCTAAGGAATTAAATGTTGCCTTGCAATTTTGCACTTTTGTTTTGAATAGCGCCATTTGCTCTCTACATTTGGCTGGCAAAGATCAATGAACTTGTTTTCCTATCATAATGTGGAAGGACTCATGATAATTTAAGAGAGGTATTTAATGAAATGTTTAAGAGGGTATATTGTGTTAAAATGTCATCTATAGAAGTTCTGCTGTTGTTGCCTACTGAAAATCAGGGAATGTAGGGGTCACATCAATTTTTTTTAGAAGGATAACATATTTTACTTACTACTTTTAACTAACAAGAACACATGGCTTAGTTTAATGTTTGTGATGGTGATCTATTTTTTTGTTTTTTTGTTTGAATAGATGGTGGATTTTGTTGCTTACTAACTGCTGACAAGTTGGAGAATCAACCCATTATCCAAAGTTGTGCTCATGGTTCAGTTAGGTAAATATAATTTTTTAAGACTAAGGTATTCATATATTTTTAAGAATCATTTGATAAATTAACTTTTTCTTAGGTGTTTTGATTAAGATCGACCATTAAATACTGATAAAGTGAAAGTTCTGAAGCTCGATGAAATATCTGAAATGTTCATTTGATTAAACTATGACTTCTCTTTGTGGAATTTGCTTTTTTCCAATTTCATTGGCTAATATAGTTGACATATTGTCTTGATTTCTATGAAAATGTGGACTCTAGACTATGAGCATGTCCATGATGCTAATTTTCGGCCCTTTTTTTTAATGAATTTGTTGAACTCAATCTTTATGCTCTCTTTGCATTAGTGCTTTACTATTCAAAACAATTAAAGGTAGAGTTGAAGTTCATGCTTTTTCTTTTTTGTTGTCAAATTCACATGCTTAACTTTAAATATCAATATTATGTGATCTTATGAGTTGATTTCAAATATTAATATTTAGTTTTATGCATGCCCTAAAACCCTACAGCTCATATATAGGATGGAAAATATTTTGGAGTATGTCTTGCAATATATTTTTCATTTATCCCTTGCTTCTACCAAGAAATATTTTGTCATTGCAGTTATGTCCCTTACTTCCAGATGCCTTCTTTAGAATTGCATTCTACTAATTGGATAAAATATGCATTTCAAGAAGCACTAATATATTTTGAATTTTTGGCTTCATTTCAAGGGACAAAAAATGAAAGCACTGAACAACAAAATGATGAAATACAAGAGGTGTAAGGTGCCTATCGATGGAGTGCGTTCATTGTGTGATTGTAATGACTTTTTTTCCCACCATTTTTAAGATTTGCTTCATTTATACTTGAACTTGTAAAATGGTTGAGAAAAAGATAATTAAGAACAAACAATGATATGAATTTTTTTCATCAAACTTAGCAATGTTAATAACAAGTTATGTTTGATAGATAAAATACAGTTATTTGGTGTGGTTGTTTTGGTTAATTTGACAATTTCTACATATTGGTGCAAGTAATGGATTATTTTGTCATAGTATTTGTTACAATGTGTAGTTAAGTTGTGTAAATTTATTTTATTTCTTTAATAAATAGATTAGTTGGTGGCTAGAGGTTAAGATAGCATTTATTACTCTATGTTGATATACTCTTATAAATAGCACAACCAGCTTTTGTAAAATTGTAATAGTGAAATAATAAAGAGTATTTTTTTACCAAATTTGTCATGGTACTATAGCCTATCTAAGGCTTAAAGTTTTTTGAGATTGGGTTCATGTTTGTGTTAGGGTTCAGTTGTCTTTGTGTGTTAGGGTTCTGAATAGTTAGACCCATTATTACCAAAGAGTATTTAGCCTACACGTGCCGGACCATCACCTCTGCCTGTTGTCGACCGGTCGAAACTAGAAGTCTGACTGCTGTCTGCCTCTGCATGTGCCGCCCAATTGAATCTACCTAGTGCTACATTTTTTACGCTTGAGAGCTCATCTTGGCTACATTTGGCCTCCGGTCACCTCCATTTTGCTCGGCATCTCCTTCTCTCCTTGATTTAGTCATGTTCAATGAAAAAAACATGTTTGACAGTACTGGGTCTTCCTTGTTTGGGGTTTATAGGGAGCTTTCAAGTGTTCTAGTTGCTTATTGATTGGCTGAAGCCAACTTTCTAGCTTAGTCTTAGCATGTTCGTACCATTTTAAAGGGCTAAGGAAAGCTTAGTTATTTACTTAGGATTGGTCCTAAGCCTGGAGAACCCAGGTTTGATGCTTGGGATGTAGCTGACTTAATGATAATGTCTTGCCTGTGGTAATTTATAGCCACTGAAGTTAGTCGCACATGTTTGTTTTTGTCCTCGGCTAAGGAGATTTGGGATATGGTGCGTTAGACTAACTTGAAGGTGAAGGATGTTGCCCAAATTTATGAGATACAGATCAAGATTTCCAATACCAAGCAGGGTAGTAAATCTATCACTGCTCTACCCTTATTAAGAATTTGTGGTAAGGATTAGATCACTATCAGTGTATTACTTTGAAAGATCTTGATGATGCAACTACCTTTAAATGCTCCATTGAGAAGTAGAGAGTTTTTGAGTATATTGTTAGGCTTAATTCAAAATTTGATCCTCTAAGAGTTCAAATTGTTGGTCGATGTTCCCTCTCTTAACGAGACCATTGCCATTGTATTAGTGGAAGAAGGCCATCGAGGAGTGATGATGGAAATTCAATTTGTAGAAGGCTTTGCCCAAGTTTCAAGGAATGTTGCTTCTTATTTTATGGAAAATGAACAATGAGGGGACTTTTCCAAGAAAGAACATATTTGGTGCTTTCATTACACGAAGCTGTGGCACACCAAGGAGAAGTGTTGAAAGCTAATGGTAAACCTCTAAATATGAAAAAGGGGCAAGCTCATATGGCCACTGATTCTACTAGGGAGAATTCTTGTCAGAATAATCTTAAGGGGAAGATTGAGAAACTGAGATATATGCTAGAGTCACTTGACAAGGTGACTACTTCTGGTTTTGGATCAAGTACATGCTCTTTGTGGTTCTCAAGTATCTCCTTTCAGCCTTTATTTGTCTTATTTTTCTATGCATTTATTGCCTCAAAATAAGATTTTCTTCACTCTTGGGTTGTGGATTCTGAAGCCTCAAACCATTTGACAAATTCCTTTAAGAATTTCATATCTTATAATTTATGTCCTAGTACTAGGAAAATCATGTAGGGT